TGACCTTTTTTATCTAATGTCTGCACAACTGAAGATCCCAAAACAAAAAAATGTGACTATTAATCATTGCAAAAAAATTCTGACATAAAACAGGTCCTTTTCTCCCCTGACAAATTTGAATATTTACCTCATTATCTCCTACTTTTTCACACATTGATCTCCACAGTACCAACTGTCACTGCTGCAAAAAACAGATGTTGCTTTCAAACGCTGTTGAGACGTATTGTAATTACCAGGATTGCACATTTTAAATCGACCGATATATTGTTAAATAGCCAACAAACCTCCCTCTTTTTTTTGCTTGCATTGCTAATATGCCAAGATCTTGTATTCTCATTACCCTGCCATCACAACACCACTGCTTTCTCCTGCCGCAGCACAAAGTAGCTCTGTACCACTCTGTCTCCAAAAGAGTCAGCAGAAAGCTACTTTTGATTTAGAGACCATATTGTTATGTCTCACTACAGAACACCTTAATATACGACAAGTTGTTTTTATGACTCACAGGCTGTAGCTTTTAAGGGCACATTAGGGCAGTACAACTTTTTCAACAGATCACTGTGGACCAACTAGAGCTCTGTGACGGGGGAAGGAGGGGGGGCATCTCGAGAATAATGAAGTAAATATTGCCCTCTTGGACCCACAGTGCAATCGCTTCAGGATCATGTTGTACAAGCTGCTCTGGAGGAATTTTACTCAGTTTCTGCTCTTTTTGGAATTACAAGAAAGTAGCTGCAAGCACATTTGCAGCTAGAGAGAAGGCTGAGTAGGAGTAGCACCATTCAACTTGATTAGTGTACAGACTTTACCAGCTGACAGGAGGTGATTATACCCTGCAACTGACAGCAGCTGGAGGACAATTATAGAGCTGTATTCATTTTAAAGTAAGAGGAAAGTGTTGGAAAGTTTAATATAGATTTTCAAATAGGTGCACTTTGAGAATGTTTTTTTGTTTGTTTGTTTTTTAAAGAGAACAACTCAAAATCTATGGGGTTTTTTTTTTCCCTTTGATCACAAACTCATCCAAGATTTTTCAAGGTCAAGCAATCAAACCTGGTTCATGGTTGGTTGCTTGAAACCCTGTTGTTTCCAAAGTGCCATTTTAAAAGCGTTAAGTTAAGCATTGCTATCTTAGTTGTAAAAACAAAACAAAAACAAAAAAAACAGAGCTCTGACTGTGAAACCAGACCCTCATTGGCTGATGAAGTGTTAACCTGTTAACTAAAGAGTTATCTGTATACCACAGATAATCCTCAATTTCAAAACATGGTATGACCAAGATTTACAAAACAGATGCTAGGTACACCAATGGAAGCTACATCCATGCTATATACGGTCTGTAATCTATAGACAGTATTGTATGACATCATCATGTTGCCTAGTAACAGTCTAAAATGATTTTGTGTTAGCATCTATGCACCTATAAAACCTTAAAAATGTTGTTTCGCTTTTCTTTCACAACAGTGAAACTTCACTTTACACAAATGCTGAATTATGCATGATGATCATGCAATATGACGCCACCATGTTGCCTGGCAACCACTCAGAAATGGGCTAAAATGGTCTGTTTTTAGCCTTTATACACCTACAAAAAATGTATAAAAGCATCATATCATTTTTATTTCACATTAATAACATTTATATCCACAAAACCTGAAATATACATGATTAGTAATCACATAGCAACTGAAATCATCCAGGCCTAACAATAGCATGGGCATGTACTAGTCATTACTTTGACTTATAATGGTAATGCAAGTCATTGACAACCGCCGTCTTCATGCTGAGAAAATATGTGATCAGACTTATGTTCCCATCGTAAAAGCTGTATCCTACTGCATAGGTCTCTGAGAAATCATTTCTAATATAAGACAAGACGAGACAAAGAATTTCTGTGGTGCAGTATGGCTTAATTAATGTGACTGACAGCAGAAACAAAGACCTTCACGACACAGAGAAAATAAAATAACAAGAAAGAAAATGTATTTTAATTTTGGACCTGTTACATCACTTGCAACAAGCATTTCATATTTAACTCCACACCCAGCGGTGGTGGTTAAATAGCTTCACTTTTTAAAACCTGACGTCAATTTAAAAAACTAAAATCAGAAATGAAATACAATTTTTTGATTGAGTTGTATTTGAGTTTACCATTTGCTGAGAATTTCATTGACACATGGTAAGTTTAACCTGCTTTAATTACTTATTTATTGTACTGGTGTGCTTTCAGAAAACTAAACATCCAACACTTCATAGCAAGAATAAATGTTTAACATCTTTCTTCTCTTCTTTTAGTTAAAATTCTCCTTGAAAAGCTCATTATTAAAGGAACCTACAATCAGATTTTTTTATACTTATAGTTAACCTTGAATAAAGCAATAAGTATTACCCCCATTTTATTGTGTCCATTGTCATGCACAGATATCAAACTCTACCACGCACACAGTTGTGGCACGGAAACAAGGACCTTTGATAAATGCATGTAATATTTAAACCCTTGAATCATTAATGACCTTGAGAGCTTACTAGTGTGCTTACCACTGCAGCTGTGAGAGACTCATCATATACCGTCAACAACAGACCCCCTGGAGTAACAGCACAAAGATTCGCAAAGATCTCTGGCAATTCTTGACAAGGGTGAGAAACCTGAGCAAAGATTCCGAAATTCGATGTGAACGATTTTTTGTTGTTTTATATAGTGATCAACTAGAGAACGAATGTCATCGCTTGAGTACGATCAGTTGCCTCATATAAAAACTAAATGCTGCATGTGTCATCATGATCCTTCATCCATCCCAAAGTACATATTTGAACATATGCATGTGGGTGCACATATGTGGTGAGGACACGGCGTGAAGCAAATCTAAACAGCTTGCAGATTTGGGCAGAGAAGCCTGGGATTTTATCATTGCACGATCATTAAGTGCTCAACCCATTTTATCAGCTCGAGGTTGTGCCCCAGAATGTGGGGAGTGTGTATATCATATAAATATTTTGTTTAGCACATTTGCGTTAACATCAGAACAACTCTGGTTACGCTATTCCCAGCAGGGTCAATTACTTCAGAAATCCCCTCCAAACATGCAGCTCCTCTGCCATAAAACATTGCATCATCGTCAGCCAATCACAAGGCAGGAATCATGGGGCTTTGTGTGGCACAGACCTAGGGAATAAGCAGGTGCCCAAGTACACTAACACAGTGACATCCACACTGTGCTGCTGTCAATAGCTTAGAGCAATGCTTTGGTAAAAGAAAAAGAAAAATCGTGTTACTTGTGATCTGATCCGTGCTCAAATAGAATTTAACAGGGGCCAGGATATAATGTGGTTCAATGTAGATTGTGCCCTTGCATGCAAGATAAATATCTGGCAGGTGCATAATGACATGACCTCGTACAGTCCACCTGTCTTTGCTTTCAGTATTGAAATGAAAAAATGGTAAACAGAGCAGCTCAGTGACTTGTTCCAAAACAAAACCTGTTCCATCAAATGCAAATCTTTACTGGAACTGGAACTGGCCTGAATTTTCCTAGCTGTCATTAAAAGCAGGATTGTGCAATGATCTAAATATGAATTCATCAGTTTCATGTCAATGCATGACATAAATTTACTGTCTTTTTACAGGTTTATCTTTTCAGATAAATCCTCCTGCAGTTTATCTACCACGACGCCCAGAGTATGTCGTAATGTCGCCAACGTGTCTGCACCAGTGTCAAGACAAAGCCTCTATATATCAAAGAAAATCCACCTGGCTAATGTGGCCAAAGAGGTCATCACACTACCTCACACCTAACCCGTTACTGTTCCGAAGAGAACTGGCCTGAATTTATGCCTAGCAAATCACAACATGTAACATCCAGTCAGCAGGTTACTTGTGTCTCTTTTGATGAACTATAGAATTACTTCAGCAGCAAAACAGCATCTCAGGCACTGCGGGCCCTGCTCTGGCTTTGCCTCTCTTACAGAGGATCATAAGACAGACAGGCATGCGTGTTGACATAACCCTCAGCTGAACATACCAGGGTAGCATGGAGATAAAAAGCTACCAGGATCTACAGTCTCTGTACAATGGCAACATTACGATAAGTGTTAGCTCTCCGGCAGGCTAACACTGGCTTAACGCTCGACTCTGCTAATCTATTCTTTATGGTTTAGCCTTGTGAGCTGGAAAAACTCTGAAATAGGCTTATGAAGATGTTTCCATTTGCAGTTACAGGAAGTGTGACTACCAAGTGTAAGAGCCATACTTCTTCACTGGTTGAGTTGGGAAAGTTAAGCCTGGTTTAGGAAATTGTTTTCCAGCTGGTGACTTGAATGTCTTGAATTGGTTCGGTCTTGCCAGCTTTTTAATAAAATAGTGCTGTTAATTACCACCAGCAGTAATGACAATCCTGAATACTGCAGGTGTAATGTAAGTGATTGGAGATCTTTTGTTTCAGCAAATTATCCAAAATTGCTGATGGTGTAAAAAAAAGAAAGAAAAAGAAACCCTAATAGCTCAAACATTCAGTCAAATGTAATGTCTGCTTTTAGAAATAATACACCCAGGGGTTTGTATTCAGCCTGATACATCTCTCCAAGACAGACACTGACTATACAGAGCTCCGAGGCCAAGCTTTATAGCGATAAAGCACAAAAATCCAATATACACACACAGACCTCTGGCCAGTGCAAAAGGTCGTATGCCATTGTAGCTTGCCTCTGCCTTCACCTAAGCTGCAAACTTATCTCCCTGCATCTGAAGAGCCAGATGAACGTGTCTTACAAAGAATTCAGCCTGAAAAAATGAAACTATTCAAAGGTCATCTGTAAGCAAAAAGCAAAAACAGACAAGCTGAAGGTATCAGTATTCAACACCAAACACAGAATAAGCTCTCAAGCCAACAAGTTGGTTTACTATTCCACTGTTGAGCTCTCACAATCACTGCAACTAATGACCGATTAAAGGTACTCAGCACTTTTAAAAAGAATTATGTTGCCTCTGCCCAAGCAAGACTTACCTGTCCACCAACGAGCAAACCCCTTTTTTGTCTTTTCTTTTGAGTTTCCTTTCATTCTCTCCCCGTCTTTCATATCTTCTGTCACTTGTCTCCCTGCTCTTCTCACCACTAGCTACCAGACTGTCCCTTGGTGAGAGGCAAGTGAGGACGAAGAGGAGGGGAGAAAGAAAGGAGGGAGAAAAAGTGAGGGAGAATGAGGACTTAGAGAGGGAAATGAATGTGGATGAAGTCCCGGAGCTGTGTCATGTTGCCCATCTCTCTGAGAAGTGAGCATTTATCCTGTCCTCTCTTTCTGTCTTTGGATCTTAAGAGTGGATCTTCTGCTGCCTGTCAGACAGCCTTGCCATCCCAGGAGTGTTTCAACATGCCTCAAGTACATTCTTCCTACTTTAATCCCACACCCTTTTTATACTCTCTCTTTATCATGTATTTTTACCTCGTTTATTTGGGGGTGTAAAATCTGCAAACAAATGAGGCGCACTGTATTTTGCTTGAGGAAATCTGGTGCAAACTGTAGATACATTTGGCTGGTTCTCAAAAGAAGACTTTAAGATCCTTTTCAACGATTGCTTTTATAATAATGCAAAAAAAAGAAGAAGAAATAACAAAAAAAGAACGATAAGGGGCTGAAGGAAATAGCAAGAGGAGCTGACCCACCCGATCATCCGTTTACAATACCATCCCCCATTCACTGATAGCAGAGCTGCCTAGTCCCTTCATTAAGCTATCATTACGTTCACCATTTTTTCTAATTTGTCTTTTTTATCTTTGTTTTTTTATGCATTTCATCATCTTTCAAACACACACACACCCACCAGCATGCACACACCCCTACACTTTGGAGTGCTTCACTTCCCAGAGGTTGTCCATGTGGCTGACAGCAACAGCTGCAACCAACACACCAACGCAATCACACTTTCCAATCAACTACACACAAACATCTCTCGAGTCCTTCTCTCTCTCTTATGTGCACATACACATACACAGACTCACACCCACCAGCACCACCTGCTTCACTAATGGTACTTCTGCTCTACACCGGTCCCCTCCCATATCTTGCGCTCACACATGGTGCCACCACCCTGTATTTCCAGCACCCTATCCACATTCAACAGCCTCCCACCCCGAGCCTTTTCCCGGGGCACCTCACTCCTGACCTACTGCCCATTAACTGATGCTACCTCACGGCATCACTCTCCTCAAGCAGCGCCGCTCTCCACAAGCCCTCAGCCCAACCCCCCATCCCTGCTTTCACAGAGTGTGACAGGAGGACAGCCAGCTAGTTGGGTAGCACAGCATACAGAATCAAAAAATACCTGCCACACAAGTATGCATAGAATTAGGGTTGACATGCCTTGGGATGGTGCATTGCCCATGCTGCGACACGGACCGCTGCAGCTGAAAGTGATCGCGTTTCCTGTTCCCCCTCCTCTTTTTTCCTCTCTCCTCCTCCCCTCCTCCTGTTCTTCGCTTTCTGTTCTTCACAAATCGCTGGGTCTCTCCTTCCTTGTGCCGGTCCCCGCGCTCCTATTCGCTCCTCGCCTTCTACCGTCCTCCTTCCCTTTGTCTCACTCTGGCTTTCTCTTCCCTCCACTGGAACCTCCTTGGCGAGATGGCTTTGGTCCAGCAGCGGCGCTCCTGACAGCACTGCGCGTGTGTGATTGCGAGCACGTGTGTGTGTGTATGCGAGTGTGTGAGGGAGAGGCTGGGTGGGAGCGCCTGGGTGTGTTTGCGTGAGGGAGAGAGACGGAAGAGATGGGCGTAATCTTCAGCAGCTTTGGGAGACTGTGCATGCCGGTGCAGGGATGCTCAGCACACAGCTAGGAGTGAAGCACAAATTTTGCCCATGATAAATTCACACTCCCTCACCCACTCTCTCTCACTTCCTCTCTCCATGCCTTATTTCCTACTGAATACACATTATACTCTCGCTCTCCTCTTAAAGACACAGGCGGCACGCTGCATTGCTACATGCCTAAGGCGCATCTCATGATATCGTAATAAAGGGGAGCCCAGGGAGATGATCCTGCATGGGGCTCCTGAGCTGAGCCAGCGGGGAGGGGGGGGTGTAGATTTGCTTGAAGCATCTATTGTACCAGGAAAGGTGGGAAGGGACTGAGGTGGGTGAAAATTTAAAAAAAAAAAGAAACAGTGGAGGTGAGAGAGACAGAGAGAGAGTGAACACTTGAAATATCCTTGTGACAACATCAGCTAATGATAAAGCTGTGTAAGGCCAGAGGGGAGGTTATAGTGGGATTGCTATGACAACCGGAGCTCGGCGGCAGGTGAGAATGACGAAAAGGACGCCACAGGAGGGCAACCTCAGCATCGCTCTTCCCTGCTGGATGTTTGTATAAATTATTACTATTTTTAGTCCTGATAAGTATCACCCAAGTCTAACATTATCTCAGCTATTTAAGAGCACCCTTGAATGTGTGGGGGGGACAAATCCACACTGAAATGAATCTTGTGTATTCCTGATGGAGGACAAAATGAGTTAAAAGTAGCTGAGAGAAGAAGGCATAGGGTGTGAAATCGGGGACAAATATTGTATAAGCCATGGATGATTGAAATCCCGAATACTGCTGTCAGGCAGAGTGAAGCAGCCTCTGCTGTAGTACCTAATGGGTGCTGATGAATTAAGAAGTTAAGAGCGGGGGAAAGAGAGACGGAGAGAAAGTAAAATGCCAGGAGATGGAGAGATAAAAGAGGATGGAGGACCTCTTCATGATGAGAGTGATGAATAATATATGATCAGCCTGCTCATGACTTACACAGCACACTGGAACGTCCGTCATGTCCAGCTGGTTTACAGGCTCAGAGAAGGGATACATCAGCCTGCCTTGTGTAGCCTGTCCACCTCAGCTAGAAGCCTAACCCTGTCACAGTGAATATTTATCAGGTTTTGTATGCTTCTGTGTGTGTTAGTGTGTGTGTTTTCTTAGGTGAGAGTTTTTACAGTGCAAGTGTTTAAGAGCTTACTGACAGAAAAAATGTTTTATTTTCAGTGATCAAAATGTCATCATAACACTTCCATTGTGTGTGTGTGTGTGTGTGTGTGTGTGTGTGTGTGTGTTTTAAGATATATAAATATAATATAAAATGTTCTTCAGAGAAGTAAAACATGGGAAGAGGAAAAAGTAAATGCTGTTTTCGGCAGTCATGCTGTCGATAACGGTGCAGATGGTAAGAATTATGTTCCCCAGTAGACACTAAATCCAGCACAGAACATTTTTAATTATCTACTTTTAGCTTTATAGAGCCACTTCGCAAGATTTAACTTCCAACTTGACATGACTAGCGACAGGCGATCCTTTAAAGGAGATTTTGTACAGATATTTGATTTCCTACTTTATATCTGAAGCAAGATATCGGTCTATAAATATTCAACATGAGAAGGCCGTATGGAAGGACCTCAAACTCACTGTGAAATTTGTTGGTGGAATATTAAAGGAGAACTAGGGTTACTAGGAGAAGGAGAGCAGAAGTGTTTGGCTCATTTCCAACTCCATTTTTATTTTTCGCTACTAGTTCAGCTTCTGCGTGATAAACATTTCAAAATAATCTTCATTCATCTTGTACTGGGAATTTGTGCAGCCGACTAGAAAGCACAGAAACCGTCTGAAACAAGCAGCTTTGAGCTCCTTTACCTTGTCTTTAAAGTTGTTTTCTTCTGATTAGCTGCACCTTGCAAATAGATGTAAACAGCTGGGGGGCGGGGCTCTTCTGTTCACAGCTAGTGCTGCCAAAGACACCTGCTTTCACTGACATGGGGAAAAAATAGCTTGAAACTGAGCATTTAGAGCAGTCTGAACTTTTGGGTTTTAGGGATTCTTTGCTGATCAGCTTAAATGAAACTTAGTTTATATAAACTCCTTCGTTTACATAGTTTTCACCTCGGACAGATATTTATTTTTATTGACCTATTATTCCACTTATAGAAGCTTTTTTTTCACAAAAATAATTCAGGAACCAAACCGGTCCTAGCCTAGTTTTAAGCCTATCAGAGGCCTTTAAGTACTGCCATCATCATGAACCCTACAGAATAACTATGAACTTAAACTAAGCGAATTCCAAACTTAAATGTAGCTATAACCACAGCAGTTACAAAAAATATAACTTTTTATAAAAGAAATTAATATGTAGAATATTCTCAGTGTCATGTTTTCCTCTTCAGAATAGGTGATCCAAATACAGCAACAATATAAACAGCTTAATGTGCCAGAATGAAATCTCCCTTCCGCTTCACCCTTCCACCAGCACACTCAAAATGCAGCAACACATAATGCTGCCACGTTTTAAAAAACAATTATAAATAAATATTCTGGTACAATATATTCAAAAAACTGCTTTGATGATGACTTTTTTCCTGCTTTCCTGCAGAGCACTGCCTCTCTTTCACACCCACATCTGCAAATCTCTGTACAGGAGGAAGGCAACCCTGTTTAATTTAGTCAGCAGCAGGCTGTCAGAGTTTGAGAGTCAACAAATATGAGAAAATAACTCAGCTCTGTAATTTGCTCTACAGCATCATGGACCGCAGGTGTTAGAACCTGTGAAGGACGGTCAGATTAGGGATTGGCTTTTCACACAGGATTGTGGCTGCTCCTCTTTATCTCATATTGTAGGTAATTTTCATATATATTTTAATATATATATTTTCATATATAATTTTCATAATATTTTAAATTTCATATAAAATCAGAATGTGTCTTTTATTTCGTTAGTGGTAGTTTTCAGGTGGAAACATCAGTGTTTTGCTGTGTGACTATATTTTTCAATAGGTCTGATTGAGCAAAAAGATACTGCACTTGACATAATGAGATAATTGCTGTCATGTGTATAATAACTATGCATAATAACTTTCTATCTACAACATTTAAGAAAAATAATGCTAAAGATTGGGTCAAGCTGGTGTTTTGCCTCAGGGCTTGTATATTTCACTGAGCAGGAAGCTGTTCATATGCAGAGATGGAACTTGCTGAGCAAGTAGCTCCGAGGAGACAATGACCACCCTGTGCCACTGTTTTCTAATAAAGCGACAGCTGCGGTTTTAGTGTTGGCTCTGCAGCTGACCATATTGTAGAAAGAATTATCAAGGCGCTT